AATAAAAATTGATGAAGATATAAAGATATAAATAAATGTTCTCTGATATTGTCAAAAAAATAATATACGAAAATTCGATTAAAAAAAATTATTTTATAATTAGAAATATAAAGAAAATAAGAAAAAGTTTAAAATTGTATAAATAAAATTGAGAACTTTATAAAAATGTGATTAATCGTTTGGTTTTTGAGAAAGGTCTGAGAAAGTAAAATAATATTATATACATATAGTAAAGAGTGTATGAGGCAGTACACGATCTGACAATAAAGTTTTCAGACTGCAGCAATGAAAAAATAAAAACATCTCAGATAATAAATAGTCATATTTTATCTTTCAAAGTTCTCCGTGATATATACTTCATACATTTTCTTTCTTTGGTACAAAGCTTCAAAATATTTGTTAAAGTCCATAATTGGAATGCTATTCAGAACACTTATCACATTTCTCAGAATATTCTCGACTTCTTGAAAGTATTTAGCTTTCATGTTTTTGAGCTTTTAGGAAACAATATGAAAGCCGAAAAAACCAGATCCGGCTGACAGAATAGTTAATTAATCTTAATAACCTCTTTCTTGACCGAATTAAGTTATATAATAACATCCCTGTATAAGGGAATTATTGTTTTTCTGAATTATCTGTTATCTATAAGCTATATATATAATTTATAAGAATTTAATAAAATTTAATATTTCATGATATGTACGAGTATAGTTAATATAAAGTTTACGGCGAAATAGCCGATTGTGTCGTTGTCAGGAATAGACGAATAATAGTTCCCAGCAAAGGAAGTCATCAATTGACTAGATGCAAATACACGAAGGCATATTTGCGAGACACGGCGTTGTATCGCAATTCATACGTTTAATTATAAACAGACAGCAAGCTGTTTGGGCATAATCGATAGCGCTGGATAGTAAATATCAGAGCGTGTGCTATTTTCTCCGACATTCGCACGAGAGCATCTCCGATGCAGAAGTTACATAAGCACGTCCTTAGAATGTTTTTTTTCTGCAGAAATAGTTTTGCATCTCAAGTGGCCGGTCTAATGTCCGTTTTCTCCAATATTATAGATAACCCTCCGTCTCCAATCTAGGTTTTTTTTACACAAACAAATTCAAATTTCACTCCCAAATTTCTTTGAAATAAAGAGAACCGTGGAAGTCAAAATTTTTCTTTCTAAAATAACCAAACCTATTTGATAATGTAATGGAGATATTGAAAAGTAACCCGGAATTTTTTTACATTTTTTGAAATTTTAGAATAATAAAAAAACTTGGTAATAAAAAGACTGGATAAAAAAAGGCCAGGTTGCAGACAAAGGATTAATCTCTGTTCAACTTACTTTTTTTTCTAATTTTTAGAACTAGGAAAAAATGAAAAGCAAATTAAAAAAACCAAAAGTTAAAATTAAATTTACTGATAGAAATACCACTCACTCGCAATCTTTATTCTTCCCGATATAAAATATTTTTAATTGAAGATCGATACATTTATTTACACTAGATTTATCTAATTCTCAAGATGAAATCTTTGAAAAGCTTGAAGAAGAGCGCTTTTCAAGCATTCGCTCGGAAATCGCAAATTTAACACGCTTTGCGTTTGACAAACGCCATTGGATCTTTATTTTAAGGTCCATCTTTTCTTCATCCCCGCTTTCGCGCAGGTCGGTCGATGCTCGGTCGTTCATTTATTTCACTTGAGACGTACCCTTACAAAGAATCGCCGTCGTACTTGTACGTATCAGATCAGGTGGCGGCGACTCGCGAAGCAAGTAGAGATATCCATTACTTACTACATGTTGTTTTCGTTGCGTTACAGTTTTAGAGTAACCGGAGATGATGGATCAAGGTTTCCCAGGGCAGCATACCACCACGACCACCGTGACGACTACTACCACGACGACTCAGCCCAATATACGGTTCGATCCGTCATATGCGAGGACATTGCCCGGCATACTAAAAATCGTACAAGTGGTGAGTGCGACACACATTCATCCTTCGCTTGTATAATTTTACAGTAATTTTGTCAAGCGATTCACGAGAAGTGCTTTTAGTATTCGATTTAATAGACACTTGTAAGTGAGTTGCTTGACAAGTCTCAGTATACCGTTATTAAGAGATTTTGAATCATAAATTAATTATTAAAGTTCAACGTGAAAGATACTAAATTGATAAAGATATAAACTTCTTATATTTGAGTTTCTGAATTTCTAGAAAAAAAATGCTTGCAGGTAAAAATATTAATTAGTCGAAAAATGATCCAGAATTAGACAATTAAAGGAGACATTTAACGCTTGGTTCGGTAAATGTATAGCATTGTGTACAAAATACACGTTCACCGTGAATTACAGCGGCCGGTATAAGGCCAGTTGCGTCACGGGCTATAATGGATTCTTAAATCTCTCACGACGGTTACAAGAGCCCCGCGAAGCGCTTTGTATTTGTGCACAATGCGTGCTTGCTCAGCTGCGCGACGAAGAATTTTCAAGAATGATAATCGCATTGGGGTCTTCTTTCAGGCACTAAATCTCTTAGGATTTATATGCATAACGGTGTCGGTACACAGCAGTCACAGCCGGGGAGGATGGTTCAATACCGTGGCCATGGGCGGCTTCTGGTTCACGGGCATCCTTCTTGTTCTCTACTTGTTCCACATTGTGGAGAAATTCGCCAGGATCCCTTGGCTTAAAATTGTAAGTCACTGATAGTGCTTCGTATCGTGTTGCTAATCGACTACCTCTTGATTGTAAGATCCTTTATTTTGTTTGTGCAAAGGCGCGTTTAAAATAAACGCAAATAAGAGGGAGCGAGGGAGTAGTATAGAAAACAGGTCGTATTCGATAATACCGGTATAACGCGGATACATGAGTGTAATAAGAGCAGGGAGTGAAAGCCCACTAGAAAGTTTATACGCGCTAAGAATGTAAAAATCGATTCGTTGCTCTGATTTTTATACTCACGAGTGAACGATCGATCGCGAGCAACATAACGGGAGCGGGTAGTTTTCGTCTATGTTGGGCCAAAGATCATTTATAATCGGGTTGACCTTTTAAGAATGCCGAGGTTACATGGTATTACGTAGGCGTTGTAATGTCGTATAACATCTCGATCTACAGATTACGCGTTTTATAACCTCAGCCGCGCACGAACTCAGTTTTTATCGCTATCGATTGAAGATGTTCATCTGTATGCTACAACTTGATACATGTAATTTCAGGAATTTATATTCTGTACGGTATGGACCCTTTTCTATCTGCTGGCCGCTTCCCTGGCAGCTGACTTCGCACGTTACACAGAGGCTTTCGGTGTTGCTGCGGTAAGAATTCTTTTGTACGTCTTTTGAACAGCATTGTTAAGTCAACGCAAGTGTCAAAAAAACGTCAACGAAGACATTCTAATTCTTCTAATAGAAGAAAAAGAACATAAGTCGTTGTAAAATAAAGAATTTTTAAAAATATAAAAATCGTTTAAAATATTTTGTTGCTGTAAATATTTTTAAAGCTTTTTTTATTCTTCTCAAAATAGCCAGCAAACGAATATACTCTTCTGATGTTTAATATTGAAATTTATTTACAGTTCTTCGGATTTTGCGCAATGGTGGCATACGGTTACGATGCTTGGCTGAAGTTTAAGGCGGTAAAGAGCGGGGAGTTGGCGCAGGGCCAGCACACACCGAAACAAATGTCCACCGTCACCAGTCCGGCGTATTAGACATCCAGGAGAGAAAAGGGCCCATGGTAGGATGGACCATATCGATTGATCAACTGGATCGATCGACACATATCGTTACCTTTGTGCGGGGCCAGTCCTTTTTGTAATTCCGGTGCGTTTCTCTCCCACGTTCCTCTCACATGGAACGTCAATGGCACGCACGATGCGCGTGCGTAGCGCGTGCTCGTGCGTATGTATGTTCGTTTGTCCACGCCCGCGCACATATATTCGATTTTTTTTTGTCTTTTTTTTTGTACTCTGTAACAAGGCAATAATCTACACTACGCCGTAGTATTAACTTATATTCTAATAAGAAGAAGAGAGCAACGTGACCGCGTGCGCGCGTTATTCGAACAACGATTGTTAATATTTTGTAATAATGTTTGTCGCGTTTTTGCTTTCGATCGACTGTTATTTATGCAATGATGTACGTGTACATGTATATATCTATATACGCATACACAAAGTCTGTAAACATTGTTGAATCTCCGTATCTTAAATTATTGTTGGAACCAAGGCGACGCTTAAGCATCGTGGTGGTGGAAAACTATGATGCTCAGGCAGATTTTAGCGCGATATTGAGTGCCGTTGCGAATGCTAGAGCTATTTTAATCCTCTGGGTTCTTGTTCACAATCGGACCGGTCAATTTTATCTTCAGTGATTGTTTTCTATGTTTTTGATAATGAGACATTTTGAATTTTCATTGATTTCTGTTAAGTATTTATTCTACCAAGTATTTATATATTTAAAAAATTCTCTATCTAAAGAATTTAAATTCAAGAGAAATGATTGAATATTTCAGGTGAATGAATGATTAATGGAGAGCGTTATTTTTGTGTAAAATGATAATCCAAGAGTAGTATTTTCGGCCGTTTGCTAGGACAGAACATTAAAAAAATTAAGACGCTGAGAGTTTTTCCCCTTTATCGTCGTATGTAGTCTTCGTAGACTGTCATTTAGATTTCTTAGATTGTTCAATATTTCGCTTCGTAAGCTCCATCACATAGAGGGATCAAGAGTGCAGGCTACGACTGCGCAAATTGTACAGAGGGACGTAAGAAAATAATGTAGCGTGATCACATATACACACACAAATAATACGTTACTTGGCTCGCGATGAACATATCTGCTGTATTCGTCATATCGGATCATCATATCGCGTTACTGGGTACGCATAATCTTGCAGATCTGATGCTCACGAGATTTTCTCTATATTATGAATAATTTGTTACAATATATCGAAGAGTAGTACACTCTTTGTTGCAACTCGCGTAAATTGTATATATTTATTAGTTTTGTTACCTTTATTCAAGTTCGAACCTATACAGGTACAACATCGATATGTACACAACACGGTATATACTTGTATCAATGTCTAGTTAAAGATCTGACGTGGATATTATTATACATAATAATGATCGACGAAATAAAGTTTCAACGTCGAAAAATGTATTCAACGAAATAAAACATTGATTGTTGTTTCCTGGATATGGAATTCGGTTCGCTTTCGATTCCTTTTCAATCAATGTGAGACGAATGAATATTTCACCAAGTTAATATTTTACGAACAAATAAGATCACGCGAATTAGATATTTGTGAATGATTTTTTTATTTCCGTTAAGGGTTACCTTACGATTTTAAGTCGTTTCACTTACATAATTCTGTCACTTATGTATTTCTATCATCGTAATGAATATTGTATGATCAATATATTGACGATCAATATTGATTTAGATTAAACGAATTTCTTATCGCTTAGCGAGCTATATTATAGAGAATTATCTCGAGTTCAATGTAACTTTTGGAGATAAGATCATTTATAATGTTATTATAATATCTCAATTTGTTATTTTATTTATCAAGTCTAATTTACAACTAAATAATCTTACATGGAATTATGCGTGATTTGTATCGCTAATATCTCGATATCTTAATTTATTTATTTAATTCTAGTTGTTTATCCTAAGAAACGCATGATTTTTTTACGTTATGAATTACGATTACGCGTTAAATGCAATAGGGGTGATGGCGAATGTGCGAAATGCGAGTCCCGATTCCTTTAATTTCTGTATTGGAACTGAGGCCGGCGCGCCTGCTTCTTACCCATCGACGAGAGATCGATGGTCTTCCCGTCCGGGAGTACCAGCTTGTTTTCTTGATAATCCACGAAGCCATCTTCCTCCTCTTCCCGGTCTTGCTCGTCGCACTTGATTCCCATCTCGTACGTGTACTCACGTCGGATACCGTCCGGATCGATGTATCCGTACTTACCGCTCGTTATACAATCCACGCCGATCGTCTCTTCCTTGTACGATCCGTCATCGTTCTCGAAACCCCACGTGATGGAACCGTCTGCATTGTCGTGCCGGTATCGCCTGATAATCTACAAAATATTATTCGTTATGTCGGACATTGGAAAATTTTTTTCAAGAGAGAATCCTGTTTATAGATTTCTCTTTACTGATGTCTACATATGATGTCTACGCACTACAAACCATTAAAGCCTATTTTAGAAGATCTGTAGTTTGCATCGGCTTTCAGAATACAATTCTATTTATAATTTCAATATCTTTATGTATGCATTTTAACATATATTTTATTATTTACAAACATTCCATTGATTCTTTATATTTTGTATATAGCGTGTAAAATAGAATTTTACTCGGAATTCTGATTGTTCGAAGTGATTTTAAAACTCGTTTATAATAAGCGTATAAAAATGGGCATTTCACAAATTCGACTAGAGACCGTTGTGTAACGGGGCATGAACAGGTTTTATCTGATCGCGTTTATGCATTATGAGTTGTGCGACGTTAAGTATCTCAAAACAAACAAAAAAGAGCATGACGGGGTCAAATGATTCCGGCTTTCACCTTTCAATTTCGAAACTATCAATTTTTTATACTCTTGGGCTACGTTCCAAAACTTCCTCTCTGAGGAAGATTTTACTTTATATGCTACAGTGTACGTTACTACATACTTCGAGTAAAATTTTCCTTAGAAAGAAAGTTTTGGAACGTAGCCTTAGATTATATGATTTGATTGATCTTTCGATTGCGTGATTTGCGATTCATATTTTATTCCTATCTATATAAAATTATTACACAAATCGACACAAGTCAATACAAGTGTCGGTCTATCCGTCACTCTCTAAATGTCAACAAGGATAGAACAACGCTTGTATCGACGTCATCAAATGGAAAGCATCCAATATTAAGTGAAAATTGACCGAGGAATATTCGAACACAAATTCATGAAGAAGGTCATATTTGATCAAGACTAATCTTATTTATTTTATTAAGCATTATTGACCAGCCTTTATTGAATATGGTCTTCTTCATGCATTTGTATTAAAATTATTTCGTTATGAGATAAGAACTTATTTTAGTTAAAGTAATATTCTTTTCAGTCCGTTGTCTCTTGTCGGAACGTGGCGAGAATAATTGACTATGATTGATATCAATTTTTTATAACTTAAGACTTTATAAGCTTTGATAATAGCTTATTGTGTTAAAGCCCACAAGAAGTTTATTCGCGGTCTCGGGGAAGATGTTTTATAGCCGGGCCTACCTGAGCTACTGGCTTCTTGCCGCGAATTTCGTAAGCTTGAGACGGTTTCACCGGTTTGGGCGGCGGCTTGATTGGTTGCTGGAACGTGATGTCATCGATGATCTGTTTCCTCGGGGCCTTTGTGGGCTTTTGCGTCGGGCGATATTGAATGGGTGGCGGTGGCGGATGTGTCGGACGGTATTGAACGGGCGGTGGCGGTGGAGGTGTCGTGGGACTCACCCTGACACTCGTCGGTGTCACTTGGGGTGGACGATACGCCAGCTGTCCTGAGGCCGCTGGAGGTGCTCTTGGTGGATTTGGCGCCGCTCGCGGTATCTCTTCACTTAGATCCTCCACGCTATCCTGGCTCCTGATCTCCTGACTCTCACGCGAGTCCTCATCCTCGCGGATGGTATCGCGCGACAGATTCTCCTCCTCCTCGGGTTCCTCGTTCACCGGTTTCACATGTGGCGCGAACGAAGGCGTGGCTACCGGCCGGAGAGGACGGAACGTACCGGACGCGTCGTCTCCGGGGCCTCCCCGGGGTCTAGAATTTTAGCGATTTCTTCAATTAACGAGTCATCAAGTACATGTGCTTACGCGTTATAAGGAAATTTACGTGTAACTCTCACAGATATTTAATTATTTTTAAGTCGCTTAGATTATATCGATCACACTTAATGAGACGTAGTAGTTTACTTTTTAGAAAATGCAAAAAGTGGAATATGTGAAAATGCCAAGACTATATTTTACTCTTTACCATTTACAACGTTAGACATGTATTTACATACTTACAGAGCCGCTCACGTGGAACGGTATTCGGACTTTCTTGTTCAATTTGCATGGCTGCAGTCCAGAAGCGATAGAATCATATGTTAGGATTGCGTAATTCTGTTGGCTATTCTTAAATGCACGTCGATAATTAAAAAACACGTCGCGCTTCCTACTTGGTGCAATGTTCGCGGACGTTGCAACGAAACTTAAGACCCGTTTAGACTAATTAACAACAGCGCGTGCAGGTTTATATTCTGCATCTTTCGAACAGATATGCGCGTCGCCCAAACTGGTTTTCCTGCCTTTCCAATAGTTCGAATAGTTTACTCGCGCAGTCAGATTATGCGGACACTTTTAATACGCGATTTATTTATATTCGTTGCACCTAATTTTTCCAACAAGGTCATATTCTAATGGATATATTAAAAAAAGCAAAAAATCTTCAGAGATTCCGCGGACTATGTCATAGATAGCCATATTTATCAAAAACATATTTATCAAATTTAAGAAAAGACATTTAATAACATTATAATTTATTAAAGCCTATCTGAAAGTCTTATTCATTTTCATCAAATTCTTCCAGTCTCTACACAATTAATTATCCCACATTTGGACCAAGTATATGATTAATTAGTTATATGATTAATGACTAAAATATTATTTTAAGGATAGATCGATTCATATGTCACGAAATTTGAAGTGTTATTTAAGAACAGATAATTATGAAAAAAGAATTTTATCAAAATTAATTTATTAAAGCAGATCTGAAAGTCTGCTCTATTTAAACTTTCCTGAATGCTATATGATTAATATTATTATCTATATGTATATTATTCCTAAGTACATATCTTAAAGTATATTATTTCCTAAGTATGTCCCTGTAAGAATATTATTAATCAGAGTATTACTTGAAGGAGATTGGTCGACGAAATCGTTGATTGGGAAACGCCGGTCCGGTACCGCCTGGTCGAGGGGGTAATCTTTGATAACGATTCGCTCGTATCGGGATCGGTGCTCCTTTTGGCCCATCCTGAATCTGTGCCGTGCAGACCGCGGCGACGCACGCCAAGAACTGGAAAATTTCTTAAATTATACATTTATAGATACGTCATTCTTTAATTATACAATTATATATTATTCTTTAATTATGCAATTATGTATTATTTTTCATTTCTCGATTGCAATCTTCTGGCTATATATAATATTTGTGCTGGAATTATTACGGAATAAAGGATAATTAAGGGTAGATGTTGGCACATTTTTATCGTTTAAGATTCTGTAGTTCAAACCAAACCATGACAAGCTCATTTATAATTCAATGATCCGCATAATAATAATTATTATTTTTAATTTTACCAATAAAATTTGTGGAAATTCGTTCTTTCCTGTTATATGTATTGTTATATCTACTGATATTATTGATTTTGTCCCTCCGCAAAGTCTAAAATATTTAATTAAATATTTAAGAATAATTTAATTAAAAATAAAATATTTAATTAAATCTCTCTCTCTCTCTCTCTCTCTCTGGAGCTATTTTTATAGAAAAATTTTAGCAATTTCCGATTTAATTGAAGACATACCATTGTTACGAGAATCATCGATAATCATAATACTCGAAAAAAAGAATTATTAACTACGATGATTGCTACATGGTATGTTACCGTTATATTACTATATTTTTCGATATTTCTTAGAGGAAACGCGATAATGAACTACTATCTGCCGCGCTCTTGAAATAGTTCTAATTATCCGCACACAATTCATGTCTCGTGATTTCTCCAAAGAAAAATAACGAAATACACCACCGGATATCAACCGGCGGTCGTTAAATCTTTACCGGGTTTTCACTTATAATTCCATCGGAGATTTAAGTACGAGCATTTTTGTGCAGCTGCGCTAAGTGTGTATACAACGCTAATAATAGCGATCGTTAGTGAAATGAAAATAAAGGTTACGCGTGATATCGAGATAATAGAATCAATGAACGCCAATGGCAACGCCATGAGCGTGTAACGCGTTACGCGAAACACGTTCCGGATCGCATCGGTATTATTCCGGTTTGCAGTCCGCATTACGAGCACCGGCGGTGCCGGTCGCTTGTGTACGCAAAATCGGCTGCGTCTCGCGTTCAAGAGAAAAGAGAAAGTGATTCGATTCGGCCTTAAGTCGTAAGCACCACATGCAGGCATCTCGCATATAAGTAACGCGCGTAACTGTTTAATCGGCATGACATTTAAACGACGTTCGCGTCAACCGGCTCGCTGAGGACGGGAAGTGCGAAAAGTGGATGGACGTTATACGTGCGTTGCGTTGAAAAGTAGAAACCGCAATGGAAATTAAAGTAACTGTCTATCGACTGTTTCACATTCATCGTTATTCTCATTGCAGAAATCGAATTAATTCCATTTGCCATTATTGCGTGAGACGACGGAACGATCATTAAGTAATAATTTTCATTTGTCTTGTAATATGATATAACAAGACGACAGAAACATTCATTGCTTATTGCTTAATATCTTTTATCTAAAAACTTCTCACTTAGGTTTCTTTAGGCCTATTTATGATGTATCCGAATCTAATTCTACCTTATCATTAATCGAAGTAAATTTGTTAAAACATTTCATTTTAAATAATTTATAATTCGCATCCAAGAATTCAAGATATAATTCTACAATTTTATATGCTAGATCTTTTAATAGATCTATGCATACGTACATACTCTCTAAATTCGTCAAAGTGGAATCTCATTTTGAAGAGTGAAAATTAATCCAATGTTAAAAAAAAGAGTAGGTGAATTTTCGATCTTTAAGACTGAGATTTCACACACTCTCCGACGCGAGATTTTCACTTTAAAAGTTTTAGAGAGTATGTATATATATTAGAATACATATCATGACATGTATTTTAATTCTTTAAAAGCATTAAACCTACTTTGGAGTTCGAACGATTGAGAATTCGCGAAAGTTTCAAGACATAATTTTATTTATAATTTTATACGTCAAATATATTTCGACATATTTCCCTATATATTTTATATACATGAAAAAAAAAAACAAATTTTATGAGATATCTACAAATTATGTAGATACAGTTTGAAAATAATTTTATCAGACTATCAAAATAAAACTCAAGCATGATAAGCATGCTGCATAAATTTTGACATTCTAATAAAGATTAAGCTATACAATTATTTGGACAGTCCAATAAAATTATTTTCAGATTTGCATCTAATTAAATTTTTTAATATTTTAGTAAAATTATTCCGCATATGTATCTTAATTATTCAAACGTTTTCCCTTACACGAAAGAGAGAGATTACGCGGTAAATAAAATTCTACCCGGCATTCTAATACGGATTTAGAGATCGTTTAAGTAGTAAAGTCAGTTCTTTAGGGCACATAAAATTGGAAACAGAATTTTATCACAATCTATGCCCATATAAAGTGAGACTAAGTTACCATAAGTTTTATCTAACTGATATCTAGAAACGGGTTCATGATCGAGCCATATCGACTGGAAATAGTGCATTAAGCAGATTTTAACGCATGCAGTCCATGTTGGAATGCACGGATAGTAAGACGAAAGAGGTGGGCAAGCCAGTAGTTAAGTCGGTGAATTCGTTTCTTAACGCTGGTTCCGAGTCGGAGCACGCACGTACCGGCTCGTTTACGCGGAATACAGCGAAATAATCTGTCCGCGACTTTCCTGTCGGGCGCTTTCACTCGCGCTCGCCAGACTCGTTGATTTTCGGCCTTCGCAATGTCGATCAGGACGCGCGGAATTCCCGATTCCTGAGCCACTTTTCGCCAAACGAAGGGCTAATCAGTCGTCAGACAGGAATCTAGCGAGGGGAACAACAAAGAATTCCTTGTCCTACGCAAGTCAACCCCGCCCTTTCGTTCGCCATATCTTGCGCAATGAAATTTTTTTAATGATCGATAAAAGCGATCGATTTAATTGCTTAAGAATTACTGATTACTGTTCGGATACACTGAAAAAAAAGTTTAAATCTTAACACATATTTCTTTGAGTACCAAGTAATTATTTATTTACTGTAAATAAATATTTACTTAATAAAAAAAATAGTCATATCAAAATAATGGTTTTTGTATCAAATTAATATGTTTACATTTAGTAGATATTTACTCAAAACTATTTAAACAAATATTTATTGAAATTTAGTAGCTTTTCATAGAAAATTTAAAGTGTTAACAAATTAGTTCCTTTTCATAAAACTCTTTCCTTTTTCTTTTAATATTTTTATTTTTTAAACTATAATTAGTAATACAATATATTGTTTGTTGAGAGAACACTCAATAAGTGCATCTAGTTTACATCTATTTTTCCCTGAAGTATTGAAGAAATCGCAAGTTAGAACTTGTTCGTAATGGCAAACTAGTATTCGCGATGTATATATTTGCGTTCTCTGTGTAAACTGAATTGCAACAGTCCTCTCTCTTTTCTGCCAATTGAATTATTTTACTTAAAAAAAAGCTCACGAGAATTATCTAAGTTCTGCATGCTTGGCAGACTCGTGGTGCCGGTATTTAAATATCCGTCGCACAGCCTGGCACATTCACATTGCTGAAATCTCGCCGTGCCACTTGAGGGTTAAAAGATGAAAGTGATCGAAACAGGTGGGGTCGTACGCGAAAGAAAGCGGACATAATTCGAGATGCGACGATACGCGCGAAAATAACAAAACAAGAAGAAATGATCGCAGTGGGTAAAAGAAATCGTATGTTGCTTTTTAACGGTGAACAACCTGTTATTTTTAATTATTATTTATGGTACCACATCAAAAGAAAAATTACTGTCGTTATATAATTTATTTCGTGTCGTGGTTTGAAAAGCAGACTCAACAGATATTAATTAATGATACGTTTGTAATAAAATATCATGTTACATAACTAAAATATTCAATAGATGTATTATGTAAGATTTGATTGCGTGAAGTAATATGATATCGCTGGTAATACATAAACAGATATATTTTGAGACAAGTGCAATTATCGAGATAATTTTAAAGCTATCACTGCATAAGCGTAATAATTTATTATATTAAAAGTCATAAAAAATAATCTCTAACAAGACATAAGAAATAATTATAAAAAAGCAACTAGTAAATTATACAAAAAAAAATTAATAAATTATGATAAATAAAAAATGATAAGAATATTTTGTAGTTAAACTAATCAATTCATCAAAAATTTTTCAATTTACTGTAATCCACGAATAATATTAAATAATTGAGTTCCTGAATAAAATTAAAAACATACAATACAACTTTCTCCACTTGATTATATCTCCATATTTTATTCTATGGTTTCTGTGGTTTATTTTATTCTAAAGGCTTTAAAAACCTGATTTTATGTGAAAAATATAAAAAATGATGCTCGAGAAAAATAAGGAATGCGTCAGAAATAATTGGACAGAAGGACCGAGAAACAGAGAGACATTTAAACATTCGCAAAACTAATTTCGGTTTTGAAGAAATTCGAACTGAAAGTTATTTTCGCGGATATTTTTCGCAGTAAACTTTTTAAAATACTCATTGCATTATTAATTAAATTGACAATCAATTTAATTGATGATGTTATTATTTTAATAATTTCAGTTTATAATTAAATCTAACAGTAATGGCGCGCAGTTTATACAATTGGAAGATATATTTAAAATTTACATATAAATATTAGTAGACACCAAGATCTATTTTCGATCGTATTTAACTCTTCTTCACTTACATCCACTTCTATCAGCTTAGATTAACTTTATTTTTTTCTACAAAATGTATATCAGAATTCTTGATGTATCACATCAGCCATGTTATTTTGTCAATTCTTGCTTTTCAGTAAAATGTAATTTTTTTGTATTAACATTTTAAAATTACAATAAAAATTATGGAAACCAAATATATACTATATAGTAAGCCAATCTCAATTTAACTTGCTCTTCATATTTTTTCCGGTTCTAAAAACTAGAATAAAATAAAGAGAGTAAATTAAATCAAAATCAAAGTTAATCTACGTAGAAATGGACATTGTTCGATTTATTTTCACGGGGTGGTTAGCGGCAACCGGGATAAGGGATAACGCGCGCGGTTGGAGAACACTTTGACGCCTCGCTGGGTACTCACGATCACCGCGACACGCATGGCCGGGATCCTGTTGTTGTCCCTCGTTGTCGCAACGGTGGGCACGCTGGGTGTGGTGCTGTGGCGCGTTTGTGCTTCACACTACCGCGAACGACTCCCCGTCTCCGCGTTCTTATACTTATATCCCCGTTTAAATTCCTATGGCACGGCCAGCGGGCAACGCGCAGACCAACTTTCCATCCAGCCGTCCAGGAATTGTGTTCCACGCTCGCGCCCGCGAGCGGGCGCGAAACGATTCACCATCATGCCGTCCTCCCGGCTCCGTCAGCTCGCAATCTGCAGAGAAGACGCTCCTCTTGCCCGCGAGGATCGCCGATCCGCGCGAGATTGATGCCGCGCAGATGGCAGATTTCAGCGTGAGTTAAAGCGATGTTCTCTCTGGGCGCCTCTGTAAGCTCATTCTACCTTGATCGCTCATTACGTAGGGAAGGAAGATAAAATGAATCCATACAGCAGCTTGCAGCAACATGCTGTAACGTTTGCAATGTGATTCACGCTGTAATAAGACAGGTGAAGTATTAAAGCGATAACATACTGGAACAGTCAATCAAATTTCGGTCCAAATTCACTCTCCTACTGCACACCCATGTGAATGTTTCATCTGTCTTATTACACTGTCATGTTACTGCAATATTGCTGAAACGTTGCAATTGCCGGAATAATCTGTGCGGAATGGAAAGCTTAAGCCAAAAACACATAGAAAAACGCAAGCAGTTCGATCAATCAGAGTAGAGAACGTAACATCATTGCTTTACATTCTCTATTGTGATTGGCCTCAATTCACTTACAGTTTATGTCTACTATTTTACGTTTTTCTATATACGATATTTCTGGTTTTACAGTGCGAGAGCGCTCAAAGCAAAACACAACCTAATTCAATGTGAATATACTGCCGTTCGTGAACTTGAATTCACTTTTCTGCATCTCCGTCTGCTCTCCTCTTTGCTTAATATTATAGAAGTGCCGAGTGATCGTTATTGATTGTGCGAGAGTTTCTATTTTTTAGATTAATATTACATTTCTATGTAAAAGATAGGATTTAAAAATTTGTTTACTTTTCAGTAACTAGATATGTCCTTTTTATACTAATTAAATAATTTGTTTTTATCACTTTTTTAATTTTCACAGCAATTCACTTGGTCCTTTTAGTGAGTAAGAAATACTGATACTTCTAGTATCAAGCTTGTATTCTTCGAGCGGGAAAAGAACGAGGATCAATGGAAAATCTCTCGAGTTACTCGTGTATCGCGACTGGATTGTTGGTCATTGGCTACTTTACGATGACATTTGTACTTTCCTTTCTTGAGAACTATAAATAAATTAGAAGAGATATATCCATATAAAATTATATGGAATAATTGATAAATAGATTAGAAGGCATATCTAATATGTAAAATTTCTGAATAGCTGAAGGATTACCGATAGTAACACCTGTCTAATAAATGTAACTATTTCTGACAATAAGTGACGAGAGGATTATACAAACGAATGAGAGAACCCATAATGACTACTGAAATCTCAAGATGACTAGCACGCGCAACATCATTAATCTTGCCGCGAATCGCCACTTATTACTGTGTATTTTTACACAGATGCATCTCAATCAGTAAATTTTCTCTGTCATCAGAAGTCAAGGCAGAGATTAATGAGATATTTTGCGACATGTAGAAATGATGTGCAACTGAAGGGCTCTCTTGTCTGCATGTAGAAAATATATTTCACATCCAGCGTTGAATATAGATGTATAATATTGACTAATATTTTATTTATTCCTTACTCACAAGAGAATATTCCCAAATGTAAATCTCAGAATAATGTCAAATATATAGATAATGTGTTATTTAAGTTATTCAAGTAACTAATAAATAAAATTCACAACTCATAATTCTTAACTGTGCAATGTAAGCAAAAAAAATATATATCAAATATATTCGAATTTGTTTTTACGTACATATATATTACTGGTATATGCTATTTTGTCAATTGTTGTTTTTTAACAAAATGTAACTTTTCTGATAGAAAACATTTCGAAATTTGTAAATTATACATTACTGATAAAAATAGTAAAATCAATATTTACACTCGAGAGATTTATACTTGGGAGTGTTCCCTTATTAGAGAAAAATATAATGATAACAACTTTATAAAAGTAATAACTGTACAATTTTTATATGTAGAATTTATGTACATAGTTGAATGAACTATTTTATCATTAATGCAATTCTAAAATCATATATTCAATTATCAAACTTGTATAGTATTGTCACCTCTGTAGTTTCTACTAGTATATCTTTTTCTTCGAGTGCGAGGATGTCATAAGAATGCGCTGCACGATATTATTTCGAATTGAGATCTCGTTGCGGATAAAGCGATTTGAGGAAGTGTCATAGCGCGAGCAGAATAATTTGTCATAATAGCACACGTCAATGACTAGTCAACAACATAAACCTCATATAAATGTAAGGAAGGTAATGATTACGCAATATCCTGTCAACTTTATGCTTCGCGCGAAAGTGCTGTTACAGTAATATCATTCTTTCTAATGAACGAAACTGGTTTCTGTGTTTGCAATAAACGTTTATGGCAACTATAAAAATCGAAAATTAGATAATATTCAATATCATTCTCGTTTATATTTAAACAAAATTGTAATACTTTTCATATTCCTTTCCTATTTATGATTAGATTTGTCGATAATTAATTGATGTACTGTTATTGATGATAATAAAAGATGACAAAATGTAAGATGAGAATTAATGTCATAAATCGATATTTTATAATTTATAATAAAGGGAACCTATTTTTGTTTACAACATTTATGAATACTTAGTTATAAAAGATGGAAAATAATTCAATGTTGTTTCTATCTCATTTCTATCTAAGAGATATTTTTTATGTTTTTTTTTCATTTATTGATTAGGATTGATAGTATGTTTAATTGATATAAAATAAAATCTTGACAAGAATTAAATATCAATATTATGTAGCATTAGTCTTCTGTTTTATATTAAAACTCTGTGATATATAATTAAATTTATTATAACTTAATGTCAAATATAGAGAGCAAAAAATAAAATAGTTGAATATTTGTCTGAACGATAAATACACGACCATAAAAATATTGAAAAAGAAGAAAAGAGGCATAAAATGCAAAGTCATGAAATCGAGAGTTCGTAACATAGGAGCTCACTTTATAAATAATTAACATTATATCTGAAAATAATTTTATTGTATTACAAATGATTATATAAGACACTCAAGTTTAATAAACAATGATGCAAAAAGTTTCAAAGTAATATAGGATTCTATCGACTAGCTTGAATCTTACATATATAATCGTCTTATTGATTATACAAAATTATTTTCAGATCTGTATCTAAGCTAAGTTTTTAGATACTTTAATAAAATCGTTCTATCTATGTAGATTATTCTGACTGAATATATTCCAAATAATTTTTTCGACAGAATTTATCGTTACCGGCAGGTGGACAGCGGATGAGAGCATGACTAGAACTTTTTGTGACTTTGTATTCTTCAGTGGAAGTTGCTGGAAACTCGTCCTGCACTCTCTTTCACAGGAGTGTAGTTGAATCAGGATGCACCTGGTACCAAGTCGGCACTACATTCTCACATTTGGGGTATACCTCGTACTTTTTTTAATTGCATATTTTTTCAAGCTCGTATTCTTAATTTCACTGCATTTTTATAGGCCACATGACTCTTTATAAACTCGCAAAAGAAATTAAAATACGACGCCTAAAAAGTGAAAAAGCTTAATTGATAAAATAATCCGTATCTGAGAATCTAAATAATAATATTCGTGTAATAATAACATTAATGATAATAACGTTATCAATTATGTTAGTATATTAAATGATTAATAAAATTTTGGAAAATATATACGCTTTATTCTTCAAGGGTGCTCGCCGATCTTTATATAGCCAGCACCTTAGAAGATCTGTATAATTTCAATTAAAATTAAAAATAGAATTTTATTTATAATTTTATGTAATACAAAAAAATTCGAAAAGACACAGAATAGACAAATACATATCAAAATACATTATAAATAATATTATAAAAACTTTACTAAAATTTGACGCGTGATTGCACATCGTTTAAAGTGATCTTAAAATTTACCATTTTAAACGTAATATAATCAATTATTATCTGATGTTTAGTTTGCAAGAATTGCTCTTTGTTTTTTTATAAACGATAATTCTACATATCTTTAATGGCAAGATCTCGAAAAATATTCCAAATTAAATAACTAGAGAGAAATCGCATAATCTATAATTCTTAATCGACATTGGCAAGCAATTTTAGAGCAGCAAGAGAAATCTCGCTCCCACAAATAATTTTTCTTATCCTTTCTACTTTCGGAACGAGAATATCGGTCGCCGCGAAACGGACAGAGATATGGCGAACGCGACGCGTGTCGCGTCGCCGCGAGTGCAGTTGCAACAATAGCAACCTGGTGGTAGCTTTTTCGGGAGTACACCCCTGCGCTCCTCCACCGCCCGGTAACGACGAAAGGAACGAGGCGTGCTGCTTTTAAAGCAGCTCGCGTCTATAGTGTCTATAGCAAGCCTCGAAGGCTCGCACGTCCAAGGTCAGTGCCGGGGCCGACCGCCTAGTCGATCGGTTCTCCATGCCGATCCGTATATTGAAAAAAAATTATTAAATTCTAATAAATACATACCTATTCGGATATAGTTCTACGTAAACATTTACTAAATATAAACATACTCTCTTTCTAAATTCTTGAAAGTGGAACTTTTCTCACACTGAGAGAAGAATATGAAAGTATTGCGAAGTAGATGTTACTCACGACGTTGTTTTTCGATATTTATTATGAAAAAAATTGCGAAATATACATTAACTGTAAAAAAAAAATAAAAATAAAATAGATGGCTTGCTTGTTAGGGATAACATTTTATTTCACCGTATTTAAATACAGATTTATCTCGGTGAAATAAATATATTTTTCACAAAGAAATTTTTTTACATCTTTTTCTAAGCTTTCACTCTTGAGAATAATAATTCACTCTAAAAGTTTAGAGGGTATATTTTTTTTATATGTCGTTCTTCATCGTTCAATTTATGTATCTCTGATTAATGTCTTTAATTATATGTGTTCTATTGTATTTTATGTGCTGACTCTTATTTCGCCCTTTAGTTTGTTTTATTTATGTTACATACGAAGAGTCTTTATACCGTT